TGATTTTATTAATATATTATCATATTATAATAACACTACGAAAATAATATAAGTTTTGCATTTGTTAAAAGCAAATTAAGCTTAAATCCCGATAAGTGTTTTACTACATCTATTCTTTAATATCTGTACCTATGCTTAGGTACATTGTACATACACAATTTTAATATTACTTATGTATAAGTTATAGGTACACTTATAATATATACAGTTACATATCATATTTATATGCACTTTATAACAATTATATCGTAAGTAATTAGTTGTAGGTACTAAATATTAAAGTTTATGTGAAGTTTTCAAACTCTAGAATATTATAACATAAATTATAATTCACCTGTCGTTTTCCTGATTAATAAGTTATAATAATATTCTTATTAAATATTCCATGGTTGTTCGAGTAATAATTTAAACTGCCTTTTGTCAATATTTTTCATAGTAGGTAAATGGAGGGTTTTCGGACTTTTGTCGATAATGTTATTTAAAAAAAAAACAACAATATGCAAAATCGTTATTTATATTTTACAGCTACCACTTTTATGGGCCAGTAAAATGCTCTTCTTTTTGTATTTTATTCCTTTTAGGTTAAAAAAATACGAATCTTACAATAAAAATATAAATAAACGTTTTCGAATCTTTTGAGTGTGTATAATTTTTTTAGTGTCCAAACATTTTTTAATATTGTCATTAAAATTGTTCATGAACTTAACCTTTTGATATTTTATAATTTCATGTTATTTGTTTGTGAAATATCAATCAAGCTAATATAAATCAGTTTAATAATGTAAAATATATTAGATGAAATTAAAAACAGAAATACACTGATCGATGACTGATTTACTAAGTTATGACTTTATATTCATGTATAATGAATAGATATATAATTAAAATATTCAAAATAATATTAGGTGGTATAATTATATTTTTTATTTTAAAACATTAAAAATGGTTCTTTCAATAGTAAGCACAACATTATATTCTTGTTTCAAATGAAAATTATGATTTTTTTTTTTAAATTCATGCCTTGATTGATTTTATTACATATGATTTTATAATTTATTTGAACTGAATCACGTTGTAACTTTAACACATAAGAGTGTTTGATAATAATATAGATACTCTGATGTAAACAAGCATACCTTTTGTATGGGAAATATATTCACAAACCCCGTACTATTTTTATCCTACCGTGAAAATATATATATTTTTTTTTTTGTAATGCACAAACCACAAAGAGAAAAAAGCCTGTGCAAAAATCCTTTAAAAAACATGCGTACGTGCAAATATTATATTGTTTGGGTTTTACAACCAAATGGATTTTTATTTTCTGACTTTTTTTAATTTGAATGTTTTCTATAGATATATTATGATGTATCAACTAATGAAACAGTCTCTTAAAAAGAATTGTAGGAAAATATATAATATTACATAATATATAATACTAGTGAATACTTTTATATATACTATATTATAGTATACCTACTATATAATATATATGTAACATTGCACACGTGGAAAACTTATAATTTATTGTAATGCGCACAAAATAGAGATATACTGCATAAGATTCGATGACTAATGTTTCCCCGACCATTACGCACTTAAGGCTATACTGTATAACATAAAAATTTACATTATGTGATGAAAAAAAGGACTATTCAAGGACCGATAAAATATTAAAACTTATAACCCATCACCGAGCGTTTTAAAAAAATCATTATTATTCAGCAATTTGTTTACATACATTGTATTGAACACTATGAATATGCAAAAATTATTCTACAGCTAACGTTGTTTGCTAACAAAAATCGATCAAACGCGTTTATTGTCTGGAAAATATAAAAATAAATCGTCTGATTGACTAATAATTAATTTAAAAATTTGTTTGAATATACTTAAAAAATAATTTAAATCACCATCTTACAATATAAATTAAGCAATTATTTTTAATTATACGCCGAGTTGTTTAGTTTAATTTTGGTTAAAAGTTATTTGTACAATTTATTTAATATTTTTACTAAAAAAATCATTTATGACAAATAAATAGTTTAATCTGAAATACATTTAAGTATAAATCAATAAAACTAATTTAAATTATTATTCATTTGATTATAATTTATAATATTAATATCGTTATCTTGATGAGAGATTTCATACATTTGATAAACAGCTATTGACAATTAAAAAGTATCATTGTTCTAAAAATTTAAAATAATTTGTAATATCATACAAGAGACATCATTAATAATATTATACTTTTATATATTACAATGTGATGCTGTACATATTATTATTTAGACATATTCAGAATTAATTGGTTACTTTTTGACCCCTTGTTTACCCGATATTTTTATAGGACAAATCGCATTGTTTGCTTGTGCACGCACCTACACCGACGAAAACTAATACTGTGAGTAACTTTGTGGACATAAAAGGCAAAAGAGAAAGAAGAGATCTTTCTTATTATGTACCTGCTGAACAAGACGATACGTACTTACATAAAAACCGTTTGTGGATTACCTTCGGGATATTTATTATTATTACCATTGTTGACTGAGAAAAGACGAAAAAATAAACACTGTTGGGAAAAGTTGTTATCATCAGCTTAAATATTGATCAATATAATAAAGTCGGATGGTTTGACAATTTGCAAACAATCTTTATAAATTATAATATCTTAATGAATAAATAAATACCTAATAACTTATCAGTTACCAGTACATTTTTAAATGATATTATTTTTAAAAAATTAAAAATTAGTTTAATGCATACTGTACATCGTTATTGCAATTGAACAAAAATATAAATTTAGAAGTTACCTATAACTAATACTCTATTAGGAATTATTTAAACATTATTTAGTAATTTGATGTCACCGAGCGTGTTTGTTCTATTCTTAATCAATTAATATACAAATTATTTTCTTTTATTCTGAGAATAACATCAAATAATAATATGAACTAATTAGGAGATGAAAAAGTTCATGTACTTTACAGTATAATTTAATCTAAAATGTGCTGAAATTGGAGAAAGCTATACTGACCGCCTTTTAAATTGAAAAAATTATAAATCAATAAGATTTAAATAATTTCTAATACATTCATGGCTAGGATCAGATTACCTAAAAATATGTTACATTTTCCAACGTAATTTTGCTGTTTTTCAGAATTATTGTCGATAGAACTCCTGGGAAATTTATAAAATATCGTAATAAAAGTAAAATTTATGGTCAATTTCCCATCTGTATAAAAGCTTGAATAATAACTTTTAAGCTATTTTAATGATCTAATAATTATTTTCGCCTACCTAATCCAGCCATTCAAAAACCAACATGATTCCTTCTTCAATACAAGATCGATAGAAAGTAGCTATTGTATGTTCGTTACAACAACACCTTAAGGCTTAAATAATCAATGTAAATAAAATTATATGCAGTAAATACATACGACTATAGAGGCACATAATGTTTTTTGAATGAATTAATTCATAATATTCAAATTATATTGGTTTAATGTCATCTAACATAACCACGGACTTACTTTATGAAACAAAATTAACTTTATAAAATAGTCATGTATTTTTAAATGTGGGTTTGTAATAAAACAATTAAAATTACTTTAAATAAACTTCAGTATTTACTTATGTAAACGTGGTATAGTTATACTTTTTTATTTATTAATTTTTCTTGCCGGTCTTATTAATAATATGAGTATTTAAAAAATTTTATGGTCTAAGTAATATTATTTTTAGTATATTTTATTAGTTGAAGAACATATATTATTAAAAATAGTTTCGAATATTAGTTTTTCTAAATAAAATTGAATTTACAAACTCTTTTGAAAATATTTATTGATGTTTGGCAAGATATTTTTTTACATCCGTTCATAATGTATAGACCTCCAGAAATGCTTTTTTATATAATTTTTACCGTTATTTTACAACATGCGATATGCAATATGCATTTTTATAATACCAATAGATTATTCATAGCTTTTATACAAACCATTTTTTTTTAAATATTGAAAGCCTTATTTGAAAACTTATTGACATTCTCGTTCCAAAACAATATCGTTTTCGGATTTTATACAGTCAACTTCTAAAATAAGTAGTATTAATTCTCAGTAATTTTTAAATTCAGAGTGGAGTGAGAAAACTATTGGTGTAAAACAAACCATAAAAAATAATGCATGCACTTTTCTTTGGTGGGCATATTTTGGGTCATAAAAGAGCTCAAGAGTTATATATAACACATTTTTAGATTAGAAACTGAACATGAAAGATACTTTAGAAAGGTAATTTGTTGAATTTCATAGTAGTTAGTAGCTAAAAAACCCGTTAAACACTTTTATTAAGAACTATTTTTTAACGAAATCTTAACAATATTTAGATAATTCGAACAACGATTAAAATCATTTTTTTTTTTATTTAAAATATAAATAGACTTCCACTAAAATCTAGTAACAGTAGTTTTTATTGTTTAAATTATGTAGGAATAATTGTTATCCTTTTAGTTCCGTGAGAATAAATATTAAAATTTTAAATACGATATGAAACCTGAGTTGGATTAAGTTTAGATCTAACCTATAAATATTTTAACTTTTTATATTTGAATACCGGCTAGTTCATGAAAGACCCATGTTAAAGACAAATTAAGTTGTATTTGAAACAACTCTTTATTTATTTTAAACACAAATATTATATTATGTGGGTATAAAATGCAATATTTATTTTATTAATATTTAGTCTATAGTCTATCATGATGGTTCTACTATAATATTGTATTATTTGCTTGGTAGTGCTATATCTTATCAAAAAAATTCAACAAAACAATGAAACAGTGTTATATTTTAATTGGATTTAAGTTTAGCCTTAGCCGATTTAATCAAGTACAAATGCATATCTTTGCTACATAATATAAGGGATGCAAGTGAATTGTCGTGCCCCCCCCCTCCGTAATTACACTATTGCCTTAATAATAGCGTAATAATAGTTCGTCAACTCACTTTCTTGTTGTCCCTGAATTTTAGCCAACCATCTAAAATTGTTAGGTCTGGTGAACTCGGAATTTCAGTTAATAACTCCAACGTTTCTTCACCTTCAGACTCCGTTGCGGAAGAATGATCACCACAATACGACCTGGCTGGAGAACCGTATACCCTGTCTAACATTTTTAAGCTCCTAGCTGGTGACCCGTAACTCCTGGCAGGCGAATTATAGCTGCTGTCAGTCATTTCAAGAAAAAAAAAATGTGACCAAAGTAAAAAAAAAAAACACTCAAATATCCACCCAAGCACACGCGCACACACACAAGTGAATGGCCGCACGATCAAGACTCTCAACGAATTTCCTTAACACCAAATCACTATATAAACACTCATAAAATACTCTACGAAATCAGAAAAAATATAAATAATTTAGAAGTCACGCACAATAACACACAAGAGTCATCAGAACTTCTACGACGTCGAGACGAAAAACACGAACTTTCGCCGGCCACTCAATTGCGATACGGACGTACGCGGCTGCCGGTGACGCGCGCGGAAATGCCGTGGTCTAGTCGATCCCTTTTCAGCCCGAAACATCATAACCTCCAACACGGAACGCATGGCGATGGGCGCTCCTCGCGGTCACTGACGACACGGTGGCGCGACGGTATTGTGCATGGTAAAAAAAACAAAAAACCTCCTTACATATACATATCGGAACGCGATAGGGCTGAGAGACTCTCGTTGAGTTATTGCCGGCGGCCTAATCCATTAATTAATAGCTGCCATAAGAGGGAAAATTGGGTTATTTATCAAAACGCACCACTCGGTCCCTGTGGTGTTGATACTATACTATTCGGGACCCGGGAGACATAAGGTACATTTTTCCCTTATTTTTCACCAACTATGACCGCTTAAAATCCGATCAATCCCCCAGTTGACAGCGCAAAAATTTGGCGCACGATTTAACTAGACATTTTTGGGCTATAACTGTAGCGTTATTATCATACCCATCCTGCTATATTGACAGTCCGTATGTATAGCTACGCGGCTTCTATAATTTTAACGTTGAATACGATTCAATTTAATTGTCATTGATACAATACCAAACTATATTGTTTTAGGTTCCGTCAGGCAATTAGTGTTCTTCTATGACATTTAGGTAATACCATAATAATCATACGTAGTATATGACATCAGACCTATATGTGCGCAGTTATTATAAACTAACGAAAAGCCGTAATCGTAGTATGATATTATATATTTTAGAAGATGAACGGACTTAATAATATATTAATATTATCGATACTCCCTGCCATAGTGGTATATAATTGTATACCGTTTCACAAAATGTGTATGTAACCGTTGCATTAATCCTTCAAACAGGACGAAGTATAAATACACAGACATTCCTGAGTAACACGAGCTCACAAATATAGTTATTCAGATGATATTCTGTTCAAAAAGATTAAGTTTGTTTACTTAGTTTTTAAAAGGAGTTGCTTCCGTATTATTATATTCAAGTTTAAAAATATTAAGGTAAAAACAGAAATTTGAACTCAAGAATAATTTACATTTTATTTACCTAATATATACACACAAAACATAGTATCAATTATTTATACGCAATAAAAATTAAAACACATATATTATAATATAATATTAATGTAAAATTATGAAGCTCCTGTGTAAATTACAATATTATCATATTTTAATACACAACATTTTGAACTGATCAGAAGATGAGTAAAATATATTTTTAATCAATATAACTAATTCTTCTTTTTTTTATTGTTATACGTATATGGTAACAATTATCATTTTTATATTCAATTTAAATAATAAATATTAATTATAGCTATTGAATCAATTAATGATAGAAGAAAAAAAAGTAAACACATAATAAAATGTACTTACAGGTTGAATAAACTACATCGACAATTTACAACTGTTTTCGATTATTTGCAAACTAACATATTATATTATACATTCATAACATCTAAAAATTGAATTATTTAATTTAAAATTATATGGTGAAATTTAAGGCTTGCACAATTTTAGTATCTAAATTGTTTCAGGTTGAATAAAAATGAAAGTATGTCTTTTTTAAATAAATTAATACTTGTCAACTTTGTTATCTCTTTTTTTTTTGTCACAGTATAACAATTACTAATTAGTAACTATGTATCTTGGTTAATAATAATTAATAAATACATTTATGGCTAAAACTTATTGTAGCTGGAATAAACAGACAACTGTATGGGTTATACACAATTTATATTATATTATTATAATATATTCATGCAGAATTACTACAAAAAATATTCTATTTCTTTTTTTCGTTTTTTTATTCCGCCATGTTTATTATATAACGGATGCTGGATACGTGAGAAAGTCATATTTTGCTTATTAAAAATAATAAAATTCATTTTACACTAGAGATTTAATCCTACATAATTTTGCAGAAACGTTCTCGAAATGTAAAGTGACTTTTTAGAAATGAACCATTTCAATCAGATAACCTATGTAAGTATAATATATAGTAATATTACAGAAGCATACAAATCACATTATATACTCACAACTTACTATATTAATTTATAAATTCTAATAGAATATTTACGCTTGAAATTATTGCTTATTATACTCATCGCCATGTATATTACCAAATAATGAAATCTATATGTAATGATGTAGGTATGTAAAACAATCCTTGCAGAGTCGACTAATTGAAAATATCAGCTTACCATCCATAGTTGGATCGCGATATCCAAACACAAATAATTAACGCTTTTGCAAAACCATATAATTTTATTATGATACTATATCTTAGTTAATAATACCTAACAGTTAACATATTTTTAAATTCAACAAATATTGTAATTTATGTGTTAAATTAATTCTTGGCGAAAAAGGAACTTTAAAGAGAAAAATTTTCCAATTTATGTAAATCACCAATAACCACTAAACTACTAATAGTGTTAATGAATATTTGATTTATATATATTATATTTCGATAATAAAGTGTCAGATATTCAGATATAGTACAATAAAATAGTATGATATAATTTATACAAAGATTATAATTAATAAAATTAAAGATTCTAACAACGTATCGTTAACAACCATGTAATATTTTAAATAACAATTCAAAAGCCTAAACCTACGTACTAATTTTGCAAACCCAACATGCAATATTATATTTGGTCATATTAACAAAAATGTGACTATATATAGTCTATAGCTAAATTTTTAATAATAAATAAGCTGTCCAATAGTATATAAAATAAATAAATGACTGTTAATTATATTATTCATAATATAGGTATCATAAAGCAAGTACATAATATATCATATATATAATACATACACACTATATAGATGCATCATCCACAGTAATTTTAAGTACCTATTGGTTTAATATTATACGATTTCAAATTTTACTATGCATATACATTTAATTAGTTAAATGAATAATAATTAACAGCACACCACCCTATGAACGTTTGTCATAAAATGTTTACAGTGCAAAAAAAATGTACATCCGTTATCTTGTATTATTTTCAGAAATATATGATTGCCAGACGTCTTGCTCTAGAATTGTGATTTATGATATTTCTTATACACTTTAGACTTGCCCATATCCTGTATGAAACGTATAAATTAGTTCTCCGAGGTTGGTAGGCGGCGGCAACGGCAGTCATTTGAAGCGTTAATGTACCATGATGAACTGTGAGAGTTATGACGAAGATACACACAACAAAAAAATGATGCTTGTATACAGAGGTCGGCAAATTCTAATTAAATAAAATACATTACGCTAACTATATTATGTTTTGCGCTTGCAAAAATCAATCGTGATGTATATTTTATTATTCTTTAGTAAACTTCAGCTATTACAATTATTAGTATGGAACTTTGCAGGGATTCAAACGACACATAGGTACTGTATTTATATACAAAATAAATTATAAATAAATATTTAAATTATTCATTTGTTTTACAATTTTAATATTTAACTTATTTAATATCCGAATTCGTTTATTCTCAATATTTTAATTGAAATAACATTTAAATATAAATTCGTATATATTTTCAAATTATAAGTATTAAATACCTCGTACGTATTTCATTAATATAGATTCGCTTAAATCAATTATAATATTAGGTACTGTCATTGTTCAGTGTGAAATATTTAGATTGGAAATTTAAAATCCAGATATTTTATAAATAATAAAATACTATAAAAGCTCATTCAAAAGATCAACTTTATTCTTTATATAAAGTAGGTACACTATTTTTAAACAAAAATTTTGACGTCGGTACTCACCTGCGATTAGTTGATAGACATATTTTTGATTATTATTATTTTAGGTATTCAATTAATCATAAATTCATAAATAACAAAAAGGAATAATGTGAATAATCGATAAACAAAGTCTTAAAATAATTTAAATAAATGAATACCAATTAAACATTGTTCTAACCTAAACTCAAGATAAATTAATTTTATACAGCTTGAAAATGTTAATCTCACAATAATACTTTCATTCAATAATTTTAAATAATGATCAAAAGGTAGTTTAAAATAATAAGTATAATATACTGAAAGCTAGGTAATAGGAAATATTGTCAATATAACCAGAATTATTTTTAATTAGCATATCATCATAATTACAATTTCACATATGTTGTTTTGAAAAAAATCTTGTCGGCTAAATAGCAACAAGATAATTGTCAAACCAACCTAGTTTTTTTTAATATGATCTGAATTTTTCTTTCAGTGTAAGTCTGTCTTATTTTGCATTAATCATACATAAATATGTCGTAATTAATAATATGTTTTCATTATTAATCTATTTTTAGTGATACAATGAATTATACTTATTAATATTTAAAGGAAATAATGTATTACTACAGTTTATAATTTAATATTATTAACAGCAACAATTAATGTTATTTTCAATTCTTAATTTATTTTACATAATAAATATCACGTATGTACTTATACTCAATTTGAATTAATGTCCTTACCTATATTTGCATTATAAAATAATTGTATTTGTTACTTATGTGCTTAATACTCATACTTGTTTAGATGTTTGTGTGTAACACCATGGCATAATAATTTTAATCAAATAACCTCATTTCCGAGTTCGTATATTATTCTAGTAAGTTAATCATAACATGTTCATAAAATTAAAAGAGCAAAGAGTATGAGAGAGAATGCATTCTCTTAGCAGAAGTTTAGAAATACAAGTGCGGCATTTTCCATCGGGTGTATTCCGTAAAGCACGCCTATTAATGACTATCCCAAGGATCATAATTCATCGGATATTCTACCGCCTACCGTCATTCCTTTGCGTTCCGTTTCATAATTAAAGGCTGACGACGACCTTTGATTATCATTCACCCTTTAGCCAACGGCAGTATTATGCAAATCTTGAGAATAAAATGATCAGGGGAAAGTTTCTTCTTCGTTAAGCAATCAAAATGAGAATCGTTTACGCCATCTTATAAGTCTTTGTCCACCGATGCACTCTGAAGTAA